TGATAAAACAAAAAAAAATTTAAAAAAAGAAAAGAAAAACAATTTGTATCAACGAGGTTTCAAGCATCTTAAATAAGTTGATTGAAAATAGCATTGTGTTATTCGATTATGTAATATAATAAATACGAAGATAGATTTTTAGGTCAGTTAACTTTGAATTAATTACTCCAAACTAGTCCTATCACATTTAATATTTCGTTATTAATTTTTTTTGTAAAATTTACATTTTGTTTTTGTTTGTAGGACAAAAACATTTTTTTTGGCTTTGCTAGCACTACTTTGTATAACTCATGTTCTTGGCACCGATGATAATTATTCGTACATTAATATCACAGTACTTCATAGTGCAACTGCCCAAGGCGCAGGTGATTTAAGAGTGTCAAAAAAAACTAAATATACTCTTAATTCCTCAAAGAAAATCAAATTTATATTTGTTTCAATTTGTCAATAGTATGTCTCGATGGAAGTCCGCCAGCATATCATCTGGATAGGGGACATGGTACCGGACTTCACAGCTGGGTAATCTACTTAGATGTAAGTTACTTGATTCTTTGCAATTGATTCACATATTTGACATAATTATTGAGTCGATCACCAAATTAACTTGGAGAAATAATTCATATTTATAGGGAGGCGGTTGGTGTAACAATATCTCAGATTGTCTTAATCGTTCAACTAAGTTCTTAGGTTCTTCCACCAAGATGAAACGACAAAGTTTTTTTGGTGGGATACTTCATAATACCTCCAAAGAAAATCCAGGTGATGAAGCTCATATATATATATATATATATATATTACTTTAATCTTTTGTGTGTATATGCAAAATTAATTATAAACTTCTTCCAACTGCAAACAATATTGTAATTTGGTAGAGTTTCACAATTGGAATCGAGTGAGGGTGAAGTATTGTGATGGTGCATCTTTCACTGGTGATGTTGAACAAATCAACCCTGTAAGAAAATACTCATATATATCCTTACAAATTCTATGACGTTTTTCTTGATTAAATTTGTCAAATAATTCACACTAGGAGAATAAGTTATATTTTCGAGGGGCAAGAATATTTAAGGCAATTATGGAGGATTTATGGTGCAAAGGAATGAAAAATGCTGAAAATGTAAGAATACATCTATTGACACTATCTAGCTTCATATTCCTAATTCTATATGTACTAATACCTTATTGAATATCAAAATATTGTTAGGCAATTCTAACCGGAACATCAGCCGGAGGGTTGGCAACAATCTTGAACTGTGACAAGTTCAAAAGCCTTCTTCCAGGGAGTGCCAGAGTAAAATGTGTTGCAAGTGCTGGCTTCTTCATCGACGGGTATGATTTTCCCATATTTACGTCATGTAAAATCTTATTCTACACCTTCTATTTGTTGGGTTTTATTTACCCTAAATTTCTTGCCATAAATAGGTTTTCCTTTTAGGAAAAATGTTTTGGATTGACTAATCTTTTTCTTGTAGGAAAAGGTTTAGGACTCTATAATAGAGGAATGTTCCTTCTAAATTAATCAGCATTCACAATGTAGTCTTAAGTCTTAAGGGCTTTGAGAGTTTTGGTTAGAGGGAAAATTTATGGGTCACAAGCTTGATACGTTATCACTTGTGTGAACCTCCCATGTATTCCGAGTGAATTGGTTGAGGTTGTTTCTGTTTGTATTTTGTACTCTCATATTTATAGTGGATTGCTCATCTCCTTTGTGGACGTAGGTCGATGGACCGAACCACATTAAATCTTTGTGTCTTTTGGTATATTTTTCGTTGTCTTCTTACTCGTGGTCTTTTGAGATTTGATTTGCTAGCTTCCGTGTTTACACTTGCTTATTTCCGATCCTAACACTATTAAGGGCAAGTTCATATTTACATGCAGCAAGACAATAACTGGTACTTCACATATTCAAGAGATGTATGAAGAAATTGTTAGCCTACATGTACGTTTCATATTTCTTGTTTATATATATATATATATATGTGTGTGTGTGTTTTATAGTGATTTTGGTATGCTTAACTATATATAATAGCCTTTTCTTTTCTCTCCTTTTTAGGGATCGGCCAAGAATTTACCATCAGCTTGCACGTCTGCAATGGAACCAAGTTTGGTAATTTCTTTAAGCTTTCGAAATAAAAACAAATATCTTTAATTGTATGATATAGTTATAACTTTTAATTTTACATGGTGCAGTGTTTTTTCCCTCAAAATGTTGTTTCATATATTCAGACTCCACTATTCATAATCAACTCAGTTTATGATTCCTGGCAGGTCAATGCAACAAATGTTAAATTTCTCTCAATTTTAAGAATTTTATTTGTTTCTTCTTTAGCTATTCTGATCATTCAACAATCTTTAACTCCAGATTAATAACACTTTGGTTCCTTCGTACCTTGATCCTCAACATGCTTGGAAGGGTTGCATCAAGAACATAAGTAGTTGCACATCTAGCCAACTTATAATTATTCGAGGTTAACATTTATCTAGAGATCAACTAATCTACATGATGTTACACATGTATAGTGACTCTTCATCTTGTCCTTTAATTTTTTTATTTTTAACTTATAGCCTTCGGAGTTGAATTCTTGAAGATATTTGGCGCACTACCCCCTTGTTTTACAAGGGGTTATTTCCTCACATCTTGCTATTCACATGGTGATATTCTATCAACATCATACTGGTATAATACTACCTCTCCAAGGTTACTTAGTAAGGTAATGTTTGTTTGTTTTATCCATATATAAAGTTTTAATACACACGTTTTTGTTTTGAATCTCTTATAACATTTTATGTGTATAGACAATTGCTGAAGCTGTTGGGGATTGGTACTTTGAGAGAGCAGGATTTCAACATATAGACCCGTATCCTGATGTTAAAAATTGCAAATAATTACAAGTTCCTTGAGATACTAATGAAGTTTTAGTACATATCAATGGATAGATGATATAGTTGTGGAGTGTGAATGTATACTAATTTACAACATCATCTTACTATAGTATAATTGTTCATTTTCAAGTCACTTATGTTTGATTTTGGACTTGTATCAATAGAAGATAACAGTGAGCAGCTTGAAAGATAAGAATCTTTTATCTTAATATTTTAAAGATTTTTTTAGTTATCAAGAGATCAAAAAAGGATAAGACCTTTAAAAGACAAGTTAAAAATAATAATTTGTATCAATAAAGTCATTGAACTTGTTTACTTGAGCTGATTGCTTAATTCAATAATACAAGCAATGATTTTTCTTTGTTAAAATCCTTTAATGCCCATATAATTTTTTCATAGCTAAATGAGTAATAACTTGTTTGACCAAATATTTAGAAGCTAAAAGGTATTTGTTTTTTGTCAAGATTTATTTATTCTAATAAACAATGAGGTGTTTGGGAGAAAGAAAAAAAGGTATTTCTATAGAGTAGCAATAAACTATTTTTGACCAATTTTCTTTTTTTTTATAAAACACATTTAAGAAAAATATATTTAGCAGCACTTTTAAGAATTTAGTCAAATATAATTGTTGCTCATAAGTGTTTTAAATTTTAAAATTAAACTTATTGGTTAAAAACAAACTACTTCTAAAATAAAATCTTGGTATTTCTCCTCAGGCAATAGGACTTTTATGGTTTCTAAAGAAAACAAGCTTTTTTAGGTCATAGAAGACCACTTTATCCAAATTTTGGAATATTAAAATGAATTTTATTGTTGCATTTTTGGGCTTAAATCTTATAATCCAACAAACTGAGGGCATATTAGGAAATATCATACAAAAATTATTACTATGGTTTTTGAACTATACTAGGTGTGTAAATCACCTTTTAATACTCTTAAATTTTGAGAAAACTAAGCAAAATACTTATAGAACAAAATTTGTTACCATTAATCTTGACTGATTTACCTCAATGAAAATAAAATCCTTTTAATATTATGTACATGAATTTTAAGCATTATGATTCTAAAATCTTAAAATATCCGTGATTATAATAAAATCTTTCAAAAACTCTTATATTGATTGTTACTAGTTTATTATAAGGCTAGACAATTAATTAAACGACGTCGAATAAAAACTTTCACGGCTATGCATTGAATTTATTTTTATAAATAGAAATATTATTATTGTAAAGATATTAAATAAAAAATATTTGATAAAAAATAATAATGCAAAATTATGTTAAAGTTTGTGACTATTTATTACTAGAAATAATTAATAAAAAGGGCATTCTAAAGAGTTTTAAAAGAGCGTTTTTGAACGTCATCATCATATTCATTCTAAATGGATTTGTCCGGCTATGATGTACAACTTGCTAAAGACATAGACAATATAAACTAAAATCATAAATCTGCTCTATTAAGAGTTTTAAGCACTTTTTGAAAAAAATAAAAAAAAAGAATGAAATATTATGTAAACAGAAAATCCATCACGTAAATTAATTTTTTTTTAATATTTCAATCGATCATCAAATAATGCAGAGATATATTATGCTTAAAATAAATTGACTTACTTCTCTTAAAATATAAATTTTTTTGAATTAGGATCAACTCAATTTTTATTCTTAAACTGGCATCTCAAATATTTTACGTGTGCCCTAAATGGAGGGGCGATCCATCTTGACCAAAGGGGTGTCAGAAAAATTACATTATAGGTAGAGGTTAAGTTTTGATTTAATAAATATGTATATAAGCATTGACATGCCTTGATACAAGTAAAAGGTCTAGTCTAGTGGTTATGGGATTGCAAAACTCCTTAAGCTCGTGTGTTTAAGCCTTGCTAGGCTCAATTATAGTTACTTTTTTTTTCCTTAACCTTTGACACCCCTAAATGTCATCGTTTTCTCTTCTAAAAATTTAAATGCAATTTAAAATAATTAACATGATAATTTTATTATGGGAAAAGGGTGAAAAATGTTCTTAAATTATATGAAAGGAACAAAAATATCTTTCGTTTATATTTTGGCTCAAAAATACCTTTACTATAAATATTTTGGCTTAAATTCACAATAGTATGGAACAAAAATGTTCTCCGTTTATTGCACATTTTCACCTTCTTTGAACCAAATTTCGATTCCTTTTCCTAGACAATTTTGCATTGGAAAAGACTGATATAAATGAGTCTATGATTTTTGAAAAGCTTGATCGATTTTCTGTTTATTCTAACCCTCTTTTGGCACTAATGGAAAAGCTTGATGAGGTTCCATGATCACAAATTCAGATTTCTCTTTTTTGGTTTTAGAGACTACAACTTTCTCAATATTTTCAAGGCTAGCTGATATTATAACTTTCTCCACATTCAAATCTTCTTCGACTTCAACCATATAAATAGTCACCACTCCATCATTTGGCTTGAGGTTACTATTGATATTAGGGGTGGCACTCTGAAAAGTGATGACTTTTTGGTCTATCAAATCTTGAATTAATATGTCCAGCACCTCTTGAATGATAAGCACATTGAAGATCTTGATCTTCTTGTGAGGCTAATCTAGATGACTACATTTCTAATCATGGCTTTGATACCATGTTAACTTTCATAGATAAAAAGTCTAAGTTCTTAAATAGAGGAAAAAGAACAGTAGAGGAAGAAGACTATGAAGAAATCTGAATTCTCATTGAATTCAACTTTACATACATGCTACAAGAAAGTACTATTTATACACATACAATCTTCAGTAGCTCATTAGTTAGTTCTCTTAACAGCTAGTCTGACTGTTTAAATAACTTATAACAGCCTTCTAACTGCATGAGCTAATTCTAACTCATGTCTGGTTACATCAGCTTGCTTTTTGTTAATATTCAAGTAAAAAAGACCATAACATAAAAAATCTGCATTTGAAGTGTGCACACACCATATAACAGTACGCTTTAATATTAATTAATGTTTACAATAAATGACTTACGCAGAATATTTGTAATAAGAGAACACTTAGCTAGTGTTTGATCATAGATATTCAAATATTTTTGGCAAATATTATTTGGATGAAAATTTGGGTGAAATTTCACCATGTGTTTGGCCATAGAATTTGGGAAACATATTTCATTTTTTTAAGAAATATGATTTATACCTATAAGTTTTTAAAACTACAAAATTAACCATAAATTTGTATTTTATATAGCAAAATAGAAATCTCGATTTTCAATTTTCTCAAAAAACTCATTCCTAACTTCTATTAATCGTGGACCACTGATGGCATAACCTTTAAATCCGGACTTCGTCGCATCATCATGCAAGACACTTACGAGGATTGATGTTTCTTCATCAGTCCATTTATCAACCGTTGAACCACGTTATTTATTTATTTTTTTACGTTTCTACAATACAACATCAACATTACAACACATCATATGCATAACTTTTTTTTTGAGTGCACAAAATCTAAAAGCATGTCTTTACTAAAAATGAAAGACGTACGAACACGATTGAAAGTATATTACCCTGTTAATCGAAAAAGGTGAAGCCATAGAGTTCTCGTCGGAAATCTCAAAACCAACTTCAGGAATAATGGGCATTACAAAACTTAACAAACAAGCCTGAAAAATTAGTCGCACCAGTCGAATGAAAAAATAAAACACAAGGAGAAAAGATTCTTATTATTCCTAACTCTTAAACCTAAACAAGAGAACATATTCATACAAATCAATTCAAGCAAGTTCAATCTAAATGAAATTCACTATAAGAAAAAATATGTAGATTTTTACAAATTACCTTCAATTTGTTTCTCCAGAGAGGACTGCCACAGAGCTTTTACTATGGTTGTTCAACTAATTTTTTGGATATAAAAGTCCATGTACGTATATGCTCTATATAATAGAAAAGTGTATTAATTGAGTTAGTTGTCAGATGGGGAGCTAATTGAATTGGTTGGTGTCAATAAAAAGATTATTTTTGTAAAATATATAAGTTAGGTGTAAAAATTGAATTTCTAAAATTTTTCAAATAATGAAATTTAGCCCAAATACTAGTTTTTTCTAGTATTTGGGAATTTGGAAAATTTTCCAAATAATGAAAAAGTATATGGATAAACAAAATTTGTCAAGTTCTTTTCTAAGTTTTACTTGCAAAATCTAACGGCCCCTAATTAGTTGTTTCTCATTGAATCCTCAGTATTGTGCCTAACACATATTGAATGGTAAGCACAATGAAGATCTTGATTTTCCTGTGAGACTAATCTAGATGGCTACATTTTCTGATCATGATTCTGATATCACGTTAACTTTCATAGATGAAGAGTATCTTAAGAGGCACTATTCATACACATACAATCTTCAGAAGCTCATTAGTCAGTTTTTTTAACAGCTAGGCTGACTATCTAACTTCTAACTACATGAGTTAATTCTATCTCATGTGTAGTTATATCAACTTGCTTCTTGGCTTAAGAATATTAAAATAAAGAAGACCATAACATAAAAAAATTTGCATTTGAAGTGTGCACACGCCATGTAGCAGTACACTTTAATATTAATTAATGTTTACGATAAATGACTTACGCAGAATATTTGTAATTTTACATTCCCTTTGAAAGAATAATGTAGCGACAAATAATGTGAGTTCACGATTACTGATTTAACTTTGAAACTATATATTTTTTTTCAATAAAAATATAATTAGGTAGTATTGATTATGCATAGCTGAACACTGTGAGTTTTTTCTAATTGACGTGTTATATTATTGATTATGTATAACTAAAGACTAGACTAGGATACTTATTAGGTAACAGATCAGCGTCTATCTCTATTATCACTCCATCTAAAATTATCATATGACCGATCACTATTTATAAAAAATATATATATAATTTCAAATTTAGAATTCAAATAAGAAAACACTTAATTAGTTCTTTTAATAAGAGTTACTTCTATGGAGTATTATTTTTCTTTACAAAATAGAGGTAAAATCATAGTTGTCCTTCACATCTACTTCTACAGCATAATCATGCATTTCCCTCTAAATCCTCATTTCAATATCATCAACCCTTTCAAGAAGAACAAATTTCTTGTTGCTAACATGTAATCCTAATTATCTCAAGCTAAGCTTTTTTTTTTTATATCTGTTTCTTTTTGTTTCATTTATAACTATCAATTGTGTAAAATTTACAGCTGTTTTTGTTTGTTGTAGGACAAAAATATCAACAAGGTTTTTTCTCCGGAATACTTCATAATAATGCCAAAGGAAATCCAGATGATCGATGAATCTCATATATATTTTATTATTTTTACTTTTATTTTCTTTTCTTTTGTAATATTATGAATCTTATCAAATTTTGGTGCGTCCAAATACGTGTATCTCAGGATATATGGGGTCATTTATTCCAGATACATTATATCCAAGGAAATTCGTATGTCTCTAAGATACATAGACAAATCTCTTTTGCCTTCCTCCCATCTCGCTTTCCATATTCACATATTTTGTTCGTGTATCTAGTATGTCAGATACATGCGAATTTCACTAGACACATGTATAAGTGTTCTAGTGTGATTAGCATGTATCTTAGATATATAGACAAATATCGCTCGTTTTCCTTACATCTTGCTCGTCATATTCATATCTTGCTTGTGTATCTGGTATCACAAATACATGTAAATTACGTCGTATGTAATATGTACACATATATCTGAAATATGGTATGAAATTACTAAAAGGTAAAATAATATGTAACTATTTCAAACTATATGAAAAATTAGTAAATATGATAGCAACGTTGTATACTTAGGTAGTTTCTCATAAAAAAAAACACGCACACAAACCTAAACAAAATAAAAACTTTCTGACCGGTGTATAATATATGTATATACATTGCATTTGACAAGCAAACAAGTGTAAAATCAATTTTATTGGGATTATCTTTACTAATTGCATAAGAATACATATATAGTATCTGTATAGGGCATCACAGCATACAATGTTATGCCATGATAACTTTTCCCTTATTGTGAAATATTTAACAAATCAATACAAGCTTCTTTCCTTCTATATTTTCTATTTCCCTTTGGGAGTTTCTGATTTTTCATATCAATGATCTCAAAGAATAACTTCTATCAATGATTTTATATATCAATGTTGAAAGTGTGGACATTCGGATCAAAAACACGGTTGTGACACGTTTTGTCACAAGGGTAAGGGCAATCAATCTTCTGGAATGGATTTTTGTCGTAAAACCAGTCTCCGAGTGCTTTGGCTATAGTCTGCAGAGAACACATTTTTAGCAGAATCAGTGGTTCTACTACACGAATGGTCTACGCCAATAAGAAGTTAAACGAACATGTTAGAGTTCAGTTAATTTCTTACCTTGTTTGCTAACTTAGGAGAGTCAGCCCTGTACCATGTTTCTTGAACTTCAGTTTGACAGTGTGCGTAGCAGGAGTTGATGAAATACCCTCTTGATGAAGAAGGGCCGAGCGCATTTAATGCTCTCAGAAACAACAATCTATAACCTGATGAATGAGTCTCAACTGTCAGACATCATGAACAAATGAAAAATGTATCTTTTCTATTTCGGAATGAAAGCTTAGACGTCATATTGTATCATCTAAAATTCAAATTCAACGTAGAGGTATTGAGGGATTAGAGTCCTGACCATGCATAATTTGAAGCTGCCTGGAAGAGCATTTCAGTATGTCAAGTTTGCAGTTGAGCCAGACCCCATAGGGATCAGCAACATCAGGAGCCAAAATGTTCTTTATCTGAATTCAAATAATACCAAGTCAGGAAAATCAAGTAATTTTATACTTTTTTCTACATTGTTATTCATGGCGTATCGGATGGATGTGTCAGACACACGGGGATCAGCAAGTCTGGGAGCCAAACTGTTCTTATCTGAAGCCAGATAATAATACTAAGTCAGGAAGACCAAGTAATTCCACTTTGGTTTATAAATATATCAGTGGTATCCATGTAATACAAAGTTATCGGATAAACAAGGCAATCTCATGAGATCAGAGTCTTGAAAGGATCAGAACTCATATCCGTATTTAGCCCAGGAACTTTAAATCTTGATCAGATTATTGATGGTGTTCGCAATTCTGAGATGATTCATGCTATGTGTCAATGACATATCTTGTCCAACGTTTGTGTCAACGCAATGAAATCACTCACAGAAGACGAAAAGCAGGTTTCAAGTACTTATTACCTAAAAAGTCAACATACAGTATCCAAAAGTGTGCTGCCTAACACCAAATCTCCCTCTATAAGTTTTAGGTGAGGTATTGTATCACAAACACCACAGAAATGCAAAAGTTTTCAAATCCAATGGAGCTAAAAAGGCAATAATTATAAAACAATCGAGGATTGAAATATAGCAGAGAAAGGAAATTCTAGAAGAGAAGATAGCACAATCCAACAGGAGTTGGAGTTTCCAGAAATGCTCTTTACCTGCCAGGAATCATAGGCTGCATTAACTAGGAAAAGTGGTGTCCGCACGTGTTGAGCAACATTTTGCGGGAAAAAACACTGAAAGATGCATTGGGTTATTGGTGTAAGATGCAGTAAAGTAAAAGGCAGAAACTATATTATGAAAGAAACAGCTCTTACCAAATCCGGCTTCAACCTTGAGGTACACACTGGTGGCAGATTTTTGGCAGAACCCTGAAGCCAATATAAGGTAAAATGAACATCAAATTTATCTTAAGTCTCTCCGTTGACTTCACTATTTCTTCTTTTTCTAGACACAAGTAACATTAGAAAATGGAAGTTCATAGAGAAGGAGATAAAAAGCTACAGATTTCCAACATTTTTATCCTCTAAAGAGAAAAGGAAAGATTACATAACAATCTACAGGATGTTCACTTCACAAATCAGATTGAATAATGGCTGGCTAAACCATGGATTGCTCATAATAAGCCTTGACACATCCAGAAGATGAAAGAAGAATGTGGAGCTAGCTACAACCAAAACTATAATGGAACTCCCATGAGAAGGATGTTAAAGAAACATACATGTAAGCTAACAACATCTCTGAAGTATTCTTCAATATGAGGCGCACCAGAAATATCTTTCCTGCAATAAAAGAGAGAATTACACTAGCAGTCGAAGGAAAGTAAAATTCTTGAAAGCTTTAAGAACACCAAGGTTTTTGTTTTTTTGGTAATTGGAGAACACCAGGATAGAAATAAACTATAAAAATCCTTACACATCGATAAAATAACCAGCATCCGAAAAGCACTTTACTTTAGCACCCATTGGTAGGAGTGCTTTGAAGCTGTCACAATGTAAAATTGAAGTCAATCCGCCAGCTGAACATCCAGACAGAATAGCCTAACATTAGAACTTGATTTGTGAGCCAGTCAACAGTGAAGTGTTACGAGCACCTAAGCATCTGAGATAGAGATAAGAAGGCAAAAGGCGGTACATTTTCAGCATTCTTCATTCCTTTTGCCAACAATTCCTCCATAACAGCAAGAAAAACCCGTGCCCCTCTGAAGTGAAGTTTAGTAATCTGATATGTACAAAGGATTTCATCAGAATCATTACGGTTTCTTTATGAGATATTGAGAGAACCATTGTTTAGGACGAATCAAGACTATCAGTATTAACTCAAAATTACCGGATTGACTTCTTGAACATCACCAGTAAAGGATGATCCATCACAATATCCAACCTTTACTCTGTTCCAGTTATAGAAGTCTACAATTTAAATAAGATGTAACACTGTTATTCAGACAGGAAAAATATTATTCATGAGAGCCAGCAATACCAAAATCAGTGAAAGCTCTACCTGGATTAAACTGAGGCTTGTTGCTGAGAATCCCTGAAAATGCGAGATTTTC